CAGTAGCAGTAGTAGTAGTAGTAGTAGTAGTAGTAGTAGAAGTAGGAGCAGCAGTAGTAGTAGTAGTAGTAGTAGTACTTATTAGTAGTAGCAGTCGTCGTCGTCGTCGTCGTCGTCGTCGCAGTCGTAGTCGTAGTCGTACGCATAGTCCTAGGACTCACAGCGGCTGCAGCAGCAGCAGCGGTAGCGGTAGTGGTAGCTGTAGCAGTAGTGGTACCGGTAGCAGTGGGTGGGTAGCAGGAGGATGCAGCAGTCTTCTATTCTACGGTTGAGCTTTGCCGGCTTTGCTGCACATTGAAGCTCCCAGACTCCGTTGGAATCAATCAGTGGAGGTAGGACGCCGAAGCTCCGAGTCGGAGTTGTCACCACAGATTCTCCATCCTTTCCGTTTGACACAGAGGCATGAGATGGCATGAGGCTTTTTACCTCCATATACGGAATCATGTAGCGGCATTGTGGGAGCTGCGGAACTCCGTGTTCGTTTTCCGAGGTACGTCGAAGCCTACAGCACCTGGGTGAAGTCGTTGATGAGCTTTGTGGCTGGACGCTCACTCTTGGACTACGCACGTAACGCAGCCGTTCATGCAGAAGAAGCTTGTGGAATCCGGGAGATGGGACGTGCAGTACGGAAGGATCCTGCATGTGTCTTCCGTTGTGAAGCATCGCAGTTCAAAGCTCCACGGGATGGTGTCATAGATGCTAGCCGGACTATGCCGGACTTAGATGCTCCCGTCTGAGTGTCGACATGATTCGCCAACGTTGAAGCGTCATTTCGATCAACGCCTCACTGGTGTGCTGTATTGGAACGGGTTTGCCGAATGCACTTCAACGTTCCGCTCCTGAGTCTGTGCTGCAAAACGTGGTCGACATCGACGCCTTGTACGAAGCTAGTCCGGCCAGGTGCTCAGATCGTTGCTTGATTCTTTGCTCTTGTGATGGAGAGCACTGCTATTGCCCTTCAACTGCTTCGAAACCAACTTCTTGGATGCATGCTGGAGTTGCAGATGGTGTGCTCAGGTCTGGACGCTTTTCTATGTGACCTACTGCTACTTGGTGCGCCACGGCCGCTGCTGCGGACTTGCATACACAGCATCATGCGGAAACCGACTGGGCCCCGCTGCCAAAGTATCATGCGAGCGTAGACGTACAACAAACATTCCAGGAGTCCCCGGACCACCTCATGAGCCCAACATGTGCACAACGTGGCGGTGGATTGGCACTCCATGGCACACCAGAGCATGTACGGCACTGTTGTGGACGCTGAGCACTCTGGCGGGAGCAGGATTTCGATCTAGGGGAAGTTCTTATATAATGCCGCTATGGTGGCCCAGCAACTTCGAGCAGATTCGAGCGTATTGAAAGCCAAAATCCAGCACGGAGCGGCGGCGGGAGCATCATTTCCACCGCAAAGTAAGCAAGGTAGTGTGACGGGAGCGCGATTCATCCAGTAAAGTAATTTCGGGAGCGTGAAAATTGTGGATTTTGCGTTGCCGGCCATTTCGGGTGCGCCTGGTGAGGGCACCTAGGCCTACAGCTGTCTCAGCTGACGAGGTACTCTTTTGCTTCTTTGTTAACGGCTTCCTGGCCATCACAGCCTACGCGTGCTCCGGGAGCATGCAGGCTTAAACCCGGTTGCCTGTCTGATGTCATAGAAAGCCAGGTACTTCGAAGTGGAGCTCACAGAGCATTCCGATCCGAAGTACGAGAGATGGAGCCCATCTTCCTGGTTTGAGTCAGATGCGTTCGCGCAATTTTGCTGCTATCCGCTCGACGGGTGCCAGGCATAGGGCAGCCTTCGAGAACTAATGACAACTAAGTTTCATCTTAAGTTCTAGATGAGAGCAGCTCGGCCTGTGACATGTCTTGCGACTCCCAGAAAAGCCAGACAAGCCTACTGACAAGCCTCCGCATACCTCACCGAGCATACAGACTGTTTGAAAGATAGCTTTTCAGCTGGGAACTGGCCGAGCGTTGGTGCAATGGCCACGTTCCCTGTGACGCTCCGGGCAGCGCTGTCTGGTCACACCCTCGCCGAGGTCGAGGCACGAGCTGCACTCAGAAGTCAGCTTCCAAGGTATTCTGCGCAATTTCTCTCACGTCGGTGGTATCGAATAGCATGTTCATACCGCCTTGCACTGGCTTGCCTCCGCCAGGTTTATGCTGATGACACACTGCAAGCTTTGCGTGCTGCTGTGCACTCACAAGAAGGTCCCCAGCTGGGCTGTTCTCATTGCTACAGGTCACGTGCATGACAAGCTTTCGTTGAACACTGCCATCACTGCAGCAGCAACGGTAGCAGCGTGCATCAGTGTGCTCATCGGGAAAGCGTACGGCTTCCCAGCTTGCCACATGCTGTTCGATGAATTCCACAACTCCTCAGAGCTTAGATCACTGCTCCTTACATTATCGGAATGTTCGTTGACGTTTGCTTTAAAACCTTTGAACCTCACCATTGTCTAGAGACGGCAGCAGCCGTAGTGATCTCGCAGCTCGAGCTGTACCGTGCTAGGGAGATGTTGAAATTCTTTCAACAGGCAAAAGAGCTGCAATGCGCATGTTGCATTGACTTTGTTACTTCTTGTTGCCATCTTAACCTTGCCCTGTCATTTGACAAAGATGCTTTTGTCACGACTTTTGTTGAAGTCATCGGTCACTTGCGTTTTCAGGTTTTCTGTTTCTTAAGCCAGTTGTTGTCATGACTTCAGTCGTGGTCCGAGAGTGCTACTTACTGCCCGACCAGGAGGTTGTATGCTGCGCTGCGACTTCCTGTTTGGTGGCAAGGCCGGAAGCACCTCGTCTGCATGCACACTTGTGTCTGCATGTCTTTCCTGCATCGGAACCACGCCTCTTATTGCATTTCTTTTGTCAAGTCGTATGTTCTTGCAAACTGCTCTTGCGACCTCAAGCTCGCTCGCGACTGCGACCTCGTAGTGCTTACGTTTCCGAGTTCTTCACTCGTGCCATGGCAGCACCCGTGACTTTGCTGTGCCGGCCTGATCTGCACTCAGCAGACGTCACAGTCAAGAACACCTTCATTGATGGCCACGCAGAAGACAGCGATTCAGAACCCGCACAGAGGGCTCGCTATGCCACGTGCCCAGGCCCAGATGTGAGCCCGAGCCTCTCCGAAACCACTGCTCCTGGAGAGTCTCCTTTGTCAGAAACACCTGACAGCACGCTGACCTCCAGCAGCGGGGCAAGCATGTCACCGCAGATGGAAGCAAAGATGCCGAGGAGATTCTTCAAGACTCTGGAATCGGACAGCTCAACTCCAAGAGACCATCACCGTAACTCGATGCAAAGCGAGATCAGCACACCGCGCGGGGAGCGACCCGGGACCATGGAGCAGTGGCCCGAGTATCCGAAGCAAAGCACGAGGCAGCCATGGGCACCGCCAGCGCAGCCCCAGAATCCTTCCGCGACGCCGTGCATCAATCTGTGCAGTGCACTGCCCTCGGTGCACCCTTCACATCCGGCTGTTGCTTGTCCTGCTGCTCCAGCGGGAATGGTCTACCCGGGTCCATTCCCAGTCCCATACCCAGCTTGTTTTCCTTACCCGGCCACGCCCCATGCAGTTCCGCGGCTTCCACAGCAGCTCATGTGGAATCCCGTGGACCCCTTGGTGCAAGCCCAGCAGGTGGCGGCCCTTGCGGTTGCAGCGACCGCAGCCTCCTTGTGCTATGTTTCGGCTCCGGTGCTGCCGCTTCCCCATGCGCCACATGTCATGGCTCCCGACTTGGCCTCCCTGGCGTCCTTGCAACCGGAGAGTCAGGAGGTGCCTCTGCCTGACGCGGGGGCCGAAGAGGGCGAAGAGCGCAAGCCTCGCTCCAGGAGGGCCCGGCTTTGGGCGCACATCTACTTGCGGATGCAGCAGGATGGCTTCGACCTTGTCCCGCGCCTCATCGGCAGGAAGGGCTGCAACATGCGAAGGATTGCAGAGCAGACCAGCGCAAAAGTGCGAGTCCGCGGGCAGGGCAGTGGCCACTTGGAAATCGATGGCAAGTACGAGGCTCCCACGCCGCTCATGATTGCAGTGACCACGGACCATGCCGACCCCGAGATGTTCAAGCAGGCGATGCAAATGACGCTTAAGGTCCTAAAAGCTGTGGAAGGCTGCTACCATGCCTTCTGTACCCGGAACGGCATCGAGCACTCGGGCCCTTGCTATTGTGTGGGCTTTTTACAGCCAAAGGCGCAAGAAGCTTTGGGCTCCTTGCTTGATAGCGTGCCTCAGAATTTGGAGGAACCTCAGACCACGAACATGAAGTCTGAGCCGTGCCAGTAAGCCAGAAGGCTGACGATTAAGAGCCTGGCCTGGGTGGGTAAAGGCTGCAGTGCCCGGAGTGTAGTTAGCACAGACCCCAAAATCTTGTTACTGAGTACGGATGGTCGCGCCAAGTTGCCTTTACTGCCGCAGGCCCTTCCGACGGTCCGTGAAGGGACCTCTCGGAATACTGTTTCTGACACTGTACATTTGCACCCGCGGTTCTGCCGTGCGACAGGCAACTTCGATGTTAGGGCCCTCCTCGACTGATTAAACTGAATTTTCTGTACTCTGCTACCACTGCTTCGCCTCGAGTCTGTTGCTTTGGCCGTTCGTTTTACCTGAATTCGAAATCGAAGTCGAATCCTGAGCATGTGGCCAGTACGGTTCAGAATGCACACACGTTTTTGGGACCCCTCACGACACGCCTGTAGTTGCTCTGCAGTGAACGGACGGACGCAATAGGGATAGGACTATTTCAAACTCGCATGTGGGAGGGTCCATCTCTGAATGTGTCATTCGAGATCGGAACCTGGTCGGCGCGTCGAAGCCGCGGATCCGGTCTGGCCTGGATCGTAGCACTGCTACTGCGTTCATTTATTCCAAAACAGTCCATTAGCATTCCACTGCGACATCTGTTTGGCCCATCTAGGTTGGCCGTATCAGCGGCTGCAACACCAAAATCTGGTTCGGGACGGCCAGTAGTAGCCGACTGGTCCGGAAGAGCTTTTTTTGTTCTGGCCGCTTGCATGAGTTGCATACTCTCGGCCATGTCATGCGGTGAATTTGTTGCTAGCGTCGGGCAGCCTTAGAGCATGGCCACCCAGCACGCACTGCATGGCATGACCCGAGAGCTGCCCGAATCAGAATCTGCACAGCCTCTCTCGACTAGTGACACGCTAGCTGCACGCTTAGAATGCAGTTTGCGATTGGGGCTTCCCGGAGATCCCGGACGCTTTGCACAGCTGTGGTCGAGATAATTTTATGCTTCTATTCGGATTTGCATTGCGTCTCTTGGTGGTTCTGGTGCCTCCGCCACTGCGACAGATTGCCAGATTGCTTTCCGAATGCAAATGCCGCTCCCTGCGGCCTGCTTTGTTGCAAGTGCCCGTGCATTGGACGGTGAGCTGAAAAGGACGGTCGTGGCCAAACCGCTACGATGCCAAGGGTTGTTCGGGGGACAGCTGTGTCCCGTCCTTCTTGGAGATTGCGCAGTTAAGCATCATTTGTATTTGGCAGAGCTGTTCCGACCGGACTAACCTGTTGCATTGTGAATGGTTTCAATCTGGTGCCAGCCTTGTCGGGTCTGTGTCCGCCACTGCGAAAGTCTCGCTTCAATTGGCCGTGGATGCCTACAAGCCATGAGATGGCACGAGTCAATGCAATTGAAGCGCTGCCTAGATGTTTCCGATGCACAGTAGGCTAATTCATTTGTCTCTCTCAAATTGACAGAAGGTACCCCAGGCAAGATTGAAAAAGTGCTCGCACGCAGGATCAGGATGAAGAATTTGACTCGAAACCTCAGTCTTCCGAGTGCCAGGTGCTCCTAGAGCACGAGCTCTTGGGAAATGCAGGCGTGCAGCCTGGAGGCTCTTCTCAAGGTTCGGGATTCAACGATCTGGCCGAGCAGATTCGCTTCGAGGCGTGGTGGACGTCCTCCGGAGTCCGGGGCCGTGGCTCGCGGCGGCGTGTGCCGATGGCGCGGCCAGGCGCGCCAGCGGCTCTAGCTCACTCTCTCTCTCTCCCTCTCTCGCCCTCTCCCTTTCGGAAGGCTTATTGGGGCCCGAAACCAGGGTGTCTTGCTGCTCTGCCTGCTGTTGTCCCGTGCTGCCAAGTCCTGAGTCCTGAGCTTTGGTTTTTGGAGACCTTGAGCACCTCGCGAGGCTTTGGGACTTGAGCTCGGGCGACTGTTTCAAAACGCTCCAGGGAAACGGTGCAGGTCTGCGTGCCTTTGTCTGCATCCTGCCCTCCTGACGCCCACAGGCCCTCCCACACATTCTGGCCGCTCGTGTCCGGCACCTTGTAAGGCAAAGTCGTCCTGCTTGCCGACCAGCAGCATGCCTGCGTCTCAGAGCTTGAGGAGGTAGGAGAGACCCGTGGCACTGGCACTTCTTCCCAGGTGTTGACTGGATCGGATGACGGCACTGCGATTCTCTGGAACTTGGGAGGACAGGAAGAAACCGAAGACCGACGCAACAAAGATGAGACCCGCCGTGTGTGTCTCCGCAGCGTCTCCACAGTGCAGGAGCCGGTCATCGAACCCTTGCTGATCATGGGGCCTGCGTCACAGCAACTCGACAAAGACTACTTCGACTCAACCGGGCAAGCATGGGCGGGCACTTCGAGACTTCCACCTCAGGAGGTCTCCGCATCGCCAGACAGCAGCCTGGTGCTGACCATTGCTCACGGCGAGCTGCGGGCACTTTGGTTCGCACGGAAAGCATCGGAGAGCAGGTAGAGCGCGTGGCCTGCGGGTCTTGTAACACTCGAAGGTGTTTCGAACCGGCTCTGGGGAATGCATATGGGCTCTGGATGATGAGTACATTCTCCATGCCTGCTTTGCGCCCAACTCTGCAGAAGTTCTGGTTGCATCGAGCACTCAACTTCGGCAACTCGGCTTAGATTCCGAGCAGCTTCCACTAGAATACCCCACCCCGCTCTGCTGCTTCTGCATCTGCATATGCACTCACTCACTCACTCACTCACTCTCTCTCTCTCTCTCTCTCTCTCTCTCTCTCTCTCTCTCTCTCGCTCGCTCTCCCTGGGACGTGTGATGTGACAGCTTTGTCCGAGGCTTTGGTGCCTGAAGGAGCTGCGAGAAAGCGCCCGGCTTCAGGGACACGGGGCAGCGGTTCTGGCAGCGACCTACTCAAGGGATGGCCTGGGGCCCTGGGGTCCAGCAAGGTGACAAGCCCTTGCCCCTTATTTCTGAGGCCGCTTGATCTTGTCTGCTTCAATCGACCGCACCGCTCGTGTTTGGGATGCCAAGAGCGGGGCGTGCCTTCACATTCTGCCTCTTGGCAGAGACTTCTTTCTTGCTTTCAAACTATCTTAGCACCACGATCGGGATCGTCCTGCATAATGGCATAGTCATCGTCGCTGCTCGAGCAGCAGCGACGTTGCTGAGGGTCCTTAATGCATGACGCACTACTCATAGCTGCAGTATTCCAAGCATTGAATGTCCTGGAAGTCCTCAGACCCAATTGTCAGGTCCGGGCATTTGGACTCCGTCAGAGCACTCAGTGTCTCTGCAAGCGGCGAACTCCTGGCCACAGCATCTGGAATCACGGCACGTGCCGGGGCCTCGGCAAGAGGCTGCGGCGGCACTGGACCGCCTTTGGCACATTGTGAGGTGTGGTCCTCTGCGACTGGGGCATGCGAGAGAACCATCAACAGCCACCCCGGCACTATCTATGCGCTGCAGCTGCTTGGCGAACACGTTCGAGAAGACCTCCGAACAGAGGTGCCAATAGCTTGTCGCAGCCGGACATAGCTTCGATTCTGATACCCTCCATCTTGCTGTCGCGTCGTCGCTGCAGGTTCGTGTTGAGGACATGACCAGGATGCGACATTTTGCAATGTGTACAAAAGCAAGGTTTTCTGCGGATGCCCGGATCCTGCTTGTCGCCTTCGGCTGTGGGCGAGCTTCTTGGCTTGCAATTGGCATTGTGCGCAGCATTGTCTGAGGATGCGAAACATCCTACATTGCACCAGCCACTAAGGAAGTGTTTGCTGGCCCTGCCAACAGTGCCTTGGCTGCCTATGGGCATGCGGTAATTTGTCGCGACACTACCTCTACACGTGCACATACACACGTACAAATAGATAGATAAAGCACGAAATAATCATGTGTACGTATATGTTTAAGTTATGTATATAAAGATATTCTGTCGTATTTATACATTTAGGAACACTCGCGTACTGACTGGTACGACTTTCAGCAGCTTCAGCGCGAGTGGACGGGATTGAGGCGGCGTGAAGCTGTGGTGCACACGATCCGCGGAGTGTATGGTCACCTTGCTACCAGGCACCGACTGGATTCTCTTGGGTTGTGGCTAGTGGTACAAGTTTTGGAATAAAAGAAGCAGCGCGATACCTTGGGTGCATGTGAAAGAACATCCTGCTTCAATACACAGCCGTCACAGCCATGCATCTTCAAACATTCATGGCCAATTTGCAGATGCTGTCCTTGTGTCTCTTGAATAGCGAGTCCTTGTGCCTGCCGCTTTCTCTCAGGCGGGCTTGTGATCGCGGCGGCCCTTTTGTCGGATGCTTCCAGGGTGGTCACCGCCTGCTCGGACCGCGCAGACCCATGGCCCTAGGTTTGGAAGCACTTTCGTAGCATATACACATGCATGTGCGTGTGTGGGGTTGGATGATATCGTGTACATACTCGGGTACATGTATCAGTCATAACTGAAGAGGGCGAGGTTACACACACAGACACGCACATAGATATTTGCTTCTTTTCCTTAAGCCGTCACCTGCAAACTTTTGCCCGCTAAAAGGAAATATTTACATGCCTTTGAAATTTTGCAGTGCAATTATATACAGCTCACTACAGACATGAGGAGCATATAGAAAAGGTTGTTACAACAAACACAAACCATCAACACCATTCAACAAAGTCAAATTTGTTGGGTCTGTGCCTTCAACATCGAACATTGAAGATAGCTTGAAATTTTCGGTGAACTCTTCAATGTTCAAAGTTCAATTCACGGCAATTTTTGCTTTTTGTTTCATTGTGTTTTGTTTAAGTTTTGATCGTTTGTTTCCACATAATATGAAAATATCTTGAATATGGTGATCATACACCAGGCAGGTGTCCGCTGTTAGTTAAGCAGATAACTTGCTGTTTTGGTTACATGTTAGTATGGGGTCAACTGTTTATGAGCATCATCTAACAACTGTGCATTTTGATGGTTCAGTAAGTTCAGTACATCCCTAAATGGGTGAAAGACCGTTGAAACATTCAACAAACATTCAGTTGTGATATGTGTCGGCGCGAGAGATTGCCCAGCTCTACACTCGCTTGTGGAAGGATGCTGGCAGGCTTGTCGGATATGCAAAGGTAGTTTAGTTTAGAGCTGATTTAATCCGCGCTGAATTTCAAAGTAACTGGCTTGAATGTGGCGAAGTGCATGCGTCTCCCTCTCTCTCTCTCTCTGGAGGAAAAGTGCTCAAATTCCAACATGCCGCCCTTGATTTGGAATACGGTACTTCAAATCCACGCAAAACTAAAGTAAAGTTGGTTTGACAGGGTTCCTTGTGCACAAAGTCTTGGCAGAAGACTGCAGACAAAGTTGCGTCGCGCGATATGTCTCTCATCTACAGCACAACAGTCGCAAAGGAGAAGAATACGTGGTGCTCGCAGCGGTCGTGATGGCTGCGCCAGCAGTGGTATGCATCACCTATCTGAATAGCACGTGGGCCAGCTACTCGAAAACTTTCTTCGTCAGAGAGTGACAGTGAGGCTCCCCGCATAGTGGCCCGTGGCTTTGGCCGAAGTACTGGAAGCTCAAGCAATCTCACGCACACGATGCAGCTGCAAAATGCCAGCGGGTTCAAAGTCGCCGAGACACCCAGCATCAGTCGCTTCAAAACGAATTGAACAAGTGCCACACCGGGTATAAATCGCAGGATGCTTGTGACCAGGAGACGCAATTGCCGCCACGCCCGGCAAAGTGCTCCAAGCATTGGCCTCTGGCAGCATTGCCACTACAGTCGTGCCCTAGTCGTGGTGTGTTCGGCATCCAAAGCACGTGCAGAACGTGTGCTTAAAGTTGCCATTTGCTTTGGCGCCACAAGAAAAGCTCCCTGGCCACCGGGAAGAAAGTGTCTGGCACATCTTGGCCTCTGCGAAAGCACACTGTGCCAGGAGCCTATGCAAACTACTTTTACTACACGCAAGGCCCACTCATGGTCTTTGATCAACGCCATGATCCGCTTTGCGTTCGCTACCACTTGATCCATCGTCAATGTGGCTTCGTCCTGACGGTTCTGAATTCAAAGTAACATCGAGCGCACACACACTCATATCCCCCGCATACATACATACATACATACATACATACATACATACGTACGTACATACATACATACTAAATTACAAACATACCTACGTACCCATATAACATGCGCATACACATACACATACGCATAAGCATATACAGGCACCTGTACTTTCACATACACATGCGTACCTGCGTGTAGTTCCTGTGCATATGTACACACACATACATACATATGTGCACATGTGCGTGCATGTATGTAATTACATATAGATATGTATATGTATATGTCTATGCACATGTCCGTAAATGTATGTTCATGCATCACACCGTGTCATTCAATTCTACATGTCCTGTCTCATGCAATGCTTTGTCAAGGAGCTGTAATGTTGTATCGTGTGCCAAGGAGCTTTGGGATGCTGCAACAGGAGATCGGTTGCTGAGGCTTCCATGTGCAGGCAGCACTATTCGTGCTGTAATGTTGTCCTGATCGCATAATGCTAATATCTGCAGCACTAGCTCGAATAACTCCCTGCACCATCTTTGTTGCCTTACAATGCCATGCGCAACAGAAAGAGTCTACCATCCATGACAATGTTTCTATGGATGGCGTCTACTGGACATTGTGGGGGCTATGCTTTTGCCCACAGCCTCTGAACTGTCCGAAACCCGCCCGAAAAGCGGGCCAGGTTTCTTAGCTCTTATTTAGAGACCTTCGAGGTCTCAGCAGTATGTTAGCAGAGTTTATGTGGCAGAGGCAGATGTGCGTCGCGATCACTTCATGTCCTCGCTGAGCTGCGAGCATCTGTGAAAGACATGCCTTCCCTGGCAGCATAAGGTGGCAAAACTGCTCCAGCTGTCCTGCAGGACACGGGATCAGTGGCTGGACTGGGCACTTCCAGCCTGGATCTCGGACGGGAGTTGATCTCTAAACGACGAAGCTGCCAGGTATTTATCTAGAATCTAGGAATCTAGGAAGCTTTGGATAGAAGACAGCTGCAAGCCGTTTTGGATTCTCGGATGTATCTGAAGCTTGGGCCATAGGTCTGGCACAGGCTTTCGTTCCCATCCGCAGACAGATGAGGGTGTTGCGGGGCTCTTGTGCCCACTGTGAGCAGCAGCCCACTTGCGGGCTGACCATGCACCACCCGAACAGAAAACGACTTGAGGCGCACATGTTGCGGCAGTGAAGTGGATGTCTCTGGGACTCACCAATATTGTCGTGGTGCAAGTCTGCCGTTCCCATCCACAGAGGAATCCATGAGGCAAGGGAACCAAGGAAGGTCCCCAAGCACCAGTTTCTCCATGGCCGGTGTTGGTGCTCACAGATCGTCTCTGACAGGATAGCCTGCGCTTGAATTCGCTCAGTTCGCGGAAGCATTCCCACGCATTGCGCGCGTGGGCACGTCCCGCTCAGTACTGGCACGAGACCGATGCTATTCATCACAAGCCATCACATCGAATCTGCATGCTGAGGCTGTTATTGTGCGGTAGCTTCAGTTTCCACGGCTCACTAAGGGCCCGATATACAGTCGCGTGACGGGCAAGGCGCCAGGCTCCAGCAGGAAGATTGGTCGATGCCCCAGTAGAGCCAGCAACGTTGCAAAGCACAAGAGCCACAGCATCGGCTGCGCCAGGCCTTGTCGATGACGAGGACGACGGAGATGTTTCGGAAGATGAGGAGGAAGATGAGTGAAGTCAGTGGGGGTGCGCATTGGAAACCCCTCTAGAATTTGGTGCAGTACTTTAGCTTTGGACAAGCGCTCGTTCTAGGAGCAGATAGCCAGGCCAGCCATGTGCATCGACCTACTCTGTCTAGCCGTCTAGCATGTCAGGCTCGGCCAAAGGCAATGGGCAAGACATGCAGCAGCACTAGCTTCAGCAGATTCGACTGCGAAGTCAGAATTTAAGTAGTGGCTTTGAGTGTTCTCTGATTCCACATTGCCTTCAAGCAGAGTTTTTGGTAGAGAGAGCAACAGGCTGGTACCTTGCACGAGAATGAACGGAGGGCAGAACAAAGCCGAACTGGAGCGAAATGCGGTAGGGATGTGCTCACTGGACTGCCGCGAGCAGGTCCGCGGTTTCACAAAAAGCAACATGCTGCAACACATGTAGCACGTCTGCCCCGCTCCAGGCTGGAAAAGCGAACTGCAATGCAATGAAATGCCCTGCATTCCTGAAGTTTGCGGTCGCTCTGATGGCAGCAAAACGATACTAGACATGCTCTTTCGTGGCAAGGTGCTGATCCCAGTCGCTATGGAGCCCAAGAGCATGCGTCCGGCGGGGAAGAAAAAGAACAGCCGTTTCCGGCCTGTGCCCCGTGAGAGAACCGTACTCCTTGCAAAAGCTCTGACTAAGTTAGTGTGCTGCTCCGGGTGTTGAAGACGAGGTATGGCCGTAGAATCAATGCCACGGTCTTGTTGCCAGACGCAGTTCACGGCAACCTTCAGAACGAGCGCAACTTCGCCAAACAATCATGCAGGACCCGCCCAGTGAAGTGGAGAAACGCCTTCTTCGAAGGCCAAGCGAAACTCTCAAGACCTGGTGTAGATTTTCCGTGCATGCAGCGCAGTTTGAGTCGTGTTTTGAGGCAGTTCTTTCCTTCCAAAGTGGGTGGGCGGCCGGCCTGGTCGGGAACATACAACTGCCGGGAGTGTCTAATCAGTTCCGGTCAGACTTGGGATATCTTGAACTATGGCTCCACTTCCTCCACGCTCCATTTCAGGCTGATCCCAGCGAATCTGCCCGGAGAAGAGGAGCTTGCCTGCCTCAGGCGCGGTGCTACTGGACTCGTAGCGATAGCGCCACGGCTGACCAAAGTCCAGGGACGCGAACATCAGCAGAAAGAGTAGCATCAGTTTCAGCTGCCATGTTGCCGTCATCCACAAGTCCCCATGCGAGCCTCAAATGCCAACTCCCAACTGGCCCAACAGCCTATCTGAGATGAAAGCCTTGCCCTGCCTCCAGCGAATTTTCTCACAGGTGTAGCTCGCGAATGCGATTCCTGATGCAGGCCGCGAGTGTGAGGTTGCAGGGTGACAGGAAACAGACTGAGGTCGAAGGAGTCGGAAGGGCCTTGTTCCAGACTCCACGCAAGCAGACTCAGGAACAAATGCATGGAGTCACCGGAACCAAAGAAGCAGCCAAGCCGCCTATAGTCTTGCCAGATCTACGCGTCCCAGGGTATGCGCAAGGCATGGAACCCTCAGAGTTGTGCATCTTGCGTTGCATGGTCGCACTGGGGTAGACTGGCTAGGGATGAGCAAGGAGTCATCATCCTTGTCAGATATAGTAGATGTTTCTGTCATGAATGTCGATGGTTGACGTGCCATACCCGCAGGAGTCTTGCTTTCATCGGACCCTTCACATCTTCGTCTGCACGAATTGCCAGCCGAACGAGGTGCATTCCGGATCCTAAGGCCGAAACCCTTTAAAGACGGGGGACCCTAAACTTGTTGGAATCTTGACATCCGAGTTAGGGCTGCCAATCCTGGAGCAACAACTTTGGGAGAGTAGCGATTCCGCTTGTGGCAGATCCCCGTGTTTCGTCTTGTTTCCTATCTACAGCTTTCAGTCGTGTGCAAAGTTGTGGTCCATCGTTTTGCGGGAGTGTCGGCTTGTCACGTTGACTAAATTCAGGTGAGAGTTTTTCGGGCTCAACTGCCGCGAGACTGCTGGTCACTCAGTGAACTGGCTCCGAGGACTTCAGGGGTTGTTCTGGTCTTCCAAGACTTCCCTGCGAGGCCCATACTACAGCTACGACGAGCCAGACAGGGAAGCTCGAAGCCCAATATACAGTTGTCGTACATGATCTCTGAAGGTTCAACGTAGACATCAGGAAGAGCCACAGGAAAGTATGGTGGAATTATGCGGCAGCTGCCCAGATGAAGGCATCAACCAGCTGCCTTGAAGTAGCCTGAACAGGAGAGCAGGAGATCTGAGACATCTTCAGATAGCAGACTGTGACAGCAGAACAGGTGAGGAACAGGCGAGGGGAATGGATACCGATTGCTACGGCAGAACTTTTCAGATGCACAAGGCGAGACAAGGTATAGGTATAGAGCTGTAGCATTATACTGTTTTATACATCTGAACCAAAGCGTGCATGTTTTGAGTCGACGCCGTTCCAGTCATCTTTATGATTTCACCGTTTTTCAGCTGTTTAGACATGGACCGAGGCCGCCATTCAAAACGAACCTTTGCCGGATGCCGAATTGGAGGTCTCAGCCGTCCGAGAGTCGTGCACGAAAGAAAGACTTGATAATGGGGGACAGACAAAAGCAAGAATTGGTTGAACTTCGTGATCGCCATGTCGCAGATAGCCTGACATTCGTGGACCCAAGTGACAGCGTCGGTGTTCGAGGGGGAATACACTCTGGCTGTTCACCCGCCGCATTGCTGGATCTAGAAACGGTGTCTCTTGCGGATTGTAATCAGGTGCTTGGGTTGTGTACTGCCTGCTCTTCGCCGAATCTCGTCTTGCTTCTTTGTAGGCCCTGTGCTGCCCTCATTGCGGCCTCGCTTCTGGCCAGGCACTCAGGACAGGACCCGCAGACTGGCCCACGACTCGAAGCTGCCAACAAAAATGTGACGACTTCGGGGTTCGGGAGTCCTGGTTTGCAGCCTCAGGGTTGTGTGTTCAAGGTCACCGACCGGAGAGTTTGGCTCAGCGGTAAGTGTAGTGTGCAGACCGGCAAAGAAGCACATGACCAGGGATTCCAGAAACAGGAGAAAGCATATGTGTAACTAACCTTGAGGTGCATACTTACCGTCCCTTTTTGAAGCTCGCTAGGAATACTCTTGGCACGGGTTTCAGTTGTTTCTGTGATTTTTGCACGCAGCGAACTCTGCCTGTTCCCGCGAAATGCCGGGAATCTGAGGTGTAGATAAGCAGTGAAGCCGGTGCTGATATGCAACCTCCTACTGGGGCCGCCGCGCCGGCAATGGAGATGCCAGCAGATTCTGACACGCTGGTAGATGTTTTGAACAAGGGGCTTGTGAGGTACTACATGCTTGATTGTGGAGGCAAGTCGCAAGATATGTGCATTCTGCGGCATCCTAACGGTTTGCTTGTGCTGAGCCTTGCTCCATCTCACAGCTTGCTTAAGCCGTCGGCACCTCGGGTGCTCGAGGTCCAGTTTCCTGACAGCATTAGCGAACACGAGGCCTTTGGCAAACGCGGACGGGGTGGGGCGAATCTACTTCCGAAGACCGTCCTTGCTGACATCTCGTTGTCGGACGGTTCATGGATTCAGGTCCAAGCCGGTATTGAAGGGCGGTTGATTGAGCTGAACAGCGCTCTGCGGGAGCAGCCTCAGCTCCTCCAGTCGTGCCCAGAGGATGAGGGTTTTGTGGCCATTCTGCAACCAAAACGGCCACAGGACGTTTCACGCACCTTAGCGAAGCTGCTTGACGCCTCAAACTACGCTCGGATGCGTCCAGGGCACTTGCAGACTTACCGTCATCATGTCTGCGGAGCTTCCGGTCCCGCTTGGGCGGGTGATACGAAAGCTTCCGCGACGTCATCGACGGCATCGTCATCGTCCGGTGCATTCTGATGCCGCAAAGAACACCGTGCAGACTTGTTTTTAGGGCGGTAGTGTGGTAAGTAGCATGTCGGAATGCAGCAGCTGTAAGGCAAGGCACCGGAGCTGTGCAGCGACTGCGATAGGCGGGCGAGGCTCGAGCACCTGGCTCCCCATGCATCCGTTGCGTTTAGCAGTGAGTCTCCGTGAGAGTTTGACTTTGTAGTGATTCTAGCCCATAATTCTGGCCAGAAACGGAGATCCACCGGTGCCCTTTGCCGAGTTCGAGGTGCCGTCTGCATTGTCTCAGGTCACCATCTGCCAGGCCTTAGAAGTGAACTGACGAACAGGACTGCCCTGGCTTGCATCAACCATTTCCCGGCCCCCAGCTCCTCCACGGTCTAGGTAGTCGAGTGCAGTTCCAAGATCTGTCGCCGGCCGCCACGATTCATCCAGGGGGCAGTGCTTGGAAACAGCAGACGCCACGGGCCAGACCATATTTTATCCCTGCCAGCTCGTCTATGGTCATAGAACCCCGATGGACCCCTGCACTGACCAAAGGTGTGTATTTACTCGTAGCTATAGCTCCTTGAGTCGCATCCGGCAGTGCACACTGCACGACGCGGAATGGTTCAAAGGGCCTGGCTTCTCCACAGCGCATGGCGGCCCTCGCCCAAGACAAGCCTGTCTTTGGGGGCCGTCGTGAATCTGCGGGTGATCCGTAACGCCAAGGCTTCGGAGGAAGTGTGGCGGGAGGCAAGATGAGTCGAGACTCAGAAGAGTGACGACGACGGCGCATGTTCTGACCTTTGTGAGGCCTGGGTCGGCTCGCCCTTCACTGGCAAAGTTGCGGAGAGCTCAGTGGAACCGCAGGAGTGGGTGGTCCGGTGGCGAGTGAAATAGCTGAAAACGCCCAAAGCTGGTGCATTTTCACTCGAAAGGTGATCCGTCGGGACATCAATCGCGTTGAGCACTTGGCCGTGCTCTGCGAGGCTGTCACAGCCAGGCCACGTTTCGCACTATCTATTTTTGTACTCGTACCAAGAATGAGTTCCATCCCGGCCGTGACGGTTTAATGTGGCCAGGTATGGACAGGAGGCCGAAATCCTAGATGATGGGCGCACCATCTTCGTTTCCTTGGATGACGAGATTGCGCTGAGCCCTCGGAAAAGACATGATTTCCACAAGCCTTTGGATCTTTCTCTCAGCTAGTTCCGGAAGTGTTTCGGTCACGATGCCTCCTGCGGTATGTGACAGTTGACTTAAAAAGCTTTGCTGCAGTGGCACGACCGTCGGGTGACCTCCGAAGTCGGATCACTCCATGCCTGAAGCACTCGTTTCTGAATTATGGTATAGCAACATATTTCTGTAGGTCACCTCATAGCATATCAGGTCAGTGTGGTATGATACGGTTGTGCTTCTGGCTCCTCAGGTTTGGAGTTGTCCCGCGGCCCAACATGGCGCCGCTGGCAGTAAATGCCGCTGACCTATAGCGTTGTAGCACCTGACATCACGACATGCGTCATCCATTCCAGCGGACACTTGGTTAGAGCGTTTCAGCCTAGACTCTAGACGTGGCTGAGGTTTGGCGGCTTGCGAGCAAGAGGCCCTCAGGGCTGTTTTGCGTGGGATACCAAAGGATCATGCTGATTCCAACCGATGACATCTCCGACCGAATGTAATTCAGCCTTGAGTCACTTTCGTCACTTCGTGCCTAGTCTCAGAAGGCTAGTGATGCACCCACAAGGCATGTATTGCACAGAACACTGTGCTCAGAAAGGATGCCATGGGCCTCGATTGTGCGTGTGCGACTGTTTTGGGGGAGTTTCGTCACGATGATCACGGCAATTCAGAGCTTTTTCAGCTCAGCCTGTGCTGTGTGAGCATTTCGCCTCCCACGTGTGTACATAGTATAGTGCCCAGCATCCTATTGGCACAAGACGTGCAGGAAAGCCGCGTCCCAGTCCTTGCGCAAGCCGAAGGCCGACTTGGTCGCCAGCATAGCTCGGCAGTTTGCTTGCCGGGTTGTGGCGCCTAAGAGGAGACAAAAGCCAAAGCCACGGAAAAGCCGAGCAAGCAGCGCGAGGCTGCCGTCAAGGCAGGGGATTGTCGGCTCCTGCCCTGATCTTCGACATGCAAGGTGGCGCCTCAAAAGGGGGCGAAGTGGCAGGCGGTCCATCCAGCTGTTTAGCATGTTGGACAAGGTGCTCTTTGCTTTGCAGAGGCAAAGAACAAGGCCGAAGCTCCTGCACCTGCACCGGCGAGCAACGGCAAGGCAGCGGAATCTCTGGCTCTGACAAGTATCCTCAGCCCTACAAGCACGATGCATTCAGGCACCTTTGCGGATGCTCGGCCTTGTCCAGCACAGCCCTTAAATCCAGCTGAGCTCTGCGAAGGCTGTGGAAGCCCCTTTTGAAGAATTGCACTGTGCTGGCTCATCATACTCATCATATCCAATGCTTGATACCAAGATGCAGCAGGCAAAGCTCCCAATCCCCAGAAAGACTTGCGGGCCTCTCCGTCTCTAGTTTTGTTTGACTGATTCTTTCCTGATCAAGCGTCGCGCGTTCATCTCATCATCCCATGAGCGGGCACCTCGCCACCGAGCGTGCTGAGGAGGCCGAACAAGAAGACGGGTCGCTATCAAGTGATCTGCCAGGCTGGGCAAGGATAGAAAGCGTTGCAGATCTGCGATACGCCGACCTCAACTTAGCCAGTAGGGGGGGTGCAGATGTGCTGTTGGCAGGACATCTCAGATGTCTACGGACAGGATGCTGAAATAGCAGCAGAGGAGGCGTCGTTTCTGCAACTCGTAAAATCCCCAAGAGATCACCACTAATTTACTCTCATGAGAAACACTGCGAGGTGCCGGATGACCTGAAGCCGGGAGATCGAGTGTCCTTCACAGTCGAAGCGCTGCTCCCAGCATAGCTACTTGTATGGTTCTTCATAGCCAAGCAAAGATGCAACGGACATTCCACGTGGCAGCATTGTGTCACATGAACGTACACTTTTGGATGTACTCGCCCAAGGAGCCCAAGCACAATGCTGCCACGATATGGGCGCGGAATGTGAAGGTCGGGAGCCTATGAGAGTCCAAATGCTGGGGCCGCTGCTCCTTCCCCCCAGGTCCTGGCAGCTCGAGGCGTGAAGCGGCACAGGCCAGTCACTGCTGGAGATGGCGAGGCCCTGGCATAAAGAGACACAAAAAACATCACCAAAAAGAAGAACCCCGGCAAAAGTGATCTGAGCGGAGGAGTTGGATGGACTGGAGGAGCTGGAGGTGCAGGCATCGGGAGCATGACAGAAACGATCGACTTTGCAAGAAGTCATGGCTGCTGCCATAGCTTCTCCATAGGTTGTTAAAATCCCGCTTAACTTGACTGATGAGATTTGGAGGAGTGCGATGGGCCAAGCTTGTTCATGGCAGAGGACGGCCACGGCCCAGCGAAGGCTTCAGCGCGCTCGAGCCTACAGTAGTATCTCCGCGGGGTGGGCAAGGGCAGCAGCTCGCCCAGACAAGCCTGGAGCCGTAGCTTTAACAACCTCAATCCCGAATCCACTGCGACTCGGAGCCTCAAGTAACCCTAAACAACCCCACGCAATACTCCCGCAGTCGTCAGGAGCCAGCTCCACCAGCCGAAGAGGAAGCACTCCTGGACTTCCAGGATCTTCTGCGAAAGCATGACAGCATATGTAGCATGATGCGAAAGCTGTGATCTTCGATGTGTTCTACCAGCATGTCGTACGAGCAAAGTGCTGGTCTTCGGTCCATTTTTCTGAACTCGCTGTGCGGAGAGTCACCTCGACCTCGTCCGGCAACTGTGAATAGAAGTCACATGACCAGGGGGGCCTCTACGACGACGACCCGATCGCGGACTCGATTGAGTTTCTGCAGGCCTTCCTTCCCAGAAGCTGAGTTGTCGCGCTCCCACTGCATGCGCAAGGCCGAGCAGTGTCCCGAGGCACGGGAAAGAGACAGAGACACCGAATGAACGAGACTTGCAGAGGCAGTGTGGTGTTTTGACCTGTTGTGCATGTAACATGTGTGAAGTGACTGCTTTCTGAGTGCTTCTGTAAGCCCGGGGGACACTGCATCCATAGCATGTGACCGTACAGATAATCTTCTTTGCATGTCCTGTGATGAGCCCGATAGGGGAGTGCAGGCGTAGTCTCCCCCGAGGGGTCCGAAGATGCCGGGACTTGCAGGTGCGCACGCGCACATAAAGGGGTGGGTGGGGGGGGGGTCCAGAGCTGCCCCCTCCTCCAAGCTTGGTAGAGAGCGAGAGAGAGCGAATGAATGAGAATGAGAGAGCAAGGGCGAGTCTCAAAAAGCCTGTCAGCGCACTGCAGACACCCACACCGAAGCCACCTTCCACACCAGAGGAGCAGGGCACTCAGCTTGGAGTGTGGCCTCGAAGCCAGAATCAGACCTAAGCAGACAGGCTACGAAGTGACATCGATGCAAGCCGATGGAAATACTGGCTCTTCTTGCGTGGCTGTGTGAATGCGCGCATCTTCTTCGGTGCAGAGCACAGGTGGCAGCTGGCTCAGGCCCGACTTTTCGGCGCTTTGCTCGGGCCCCAGCGCTCACAGCGACAGCAGGGATTTCATTTGGACTACAGAAGCCTGGGAAAGCCGGGGCCTGAAAGTGCTGCATCACATGAGGACGACAGTGTCTCTTCTGACACATGTCCAGGGTTGTGCTCGCATGCTCAGATTATCTCCTCAGCCAAAAAGCAGCATGCCTCATTGCCTGCAAGCTCCGTGCCAAGCAAGGCCCCCGCTCAAACCGAACTGGATTCGAATCCGAGCCAAGTCGACGGGCAAGGCAGGTGATATATAGCCGATGTAAACGATCGTAGAGTTGCAAGAACATGGTTCGACCTGACGAAATGCTACGAACACGCAACTCTTTGCAGGTTTACTACTACAACATGGTTTCGGGCCATTCGACGGCTGATGAGCCACGACTCTGAAACTTCCCGAGATCGTTGAGCCGGGAAGGGGCTCGCCTCAGCGACGCGCAGAGTCACAGCGACAAAAGAGCTACAGTAACAGCTGACTCTGCGCTTTCCAGCGGGATGTCAGATCGTCTGAGAAGCCGATTGGTGTTTGGAGATGTTGTGTGGCCACTTGGCCAGATATCCGTCTCGGCAGCGAATGTTTCGGACGATGAGGAGGAGGCATGCCGAATGATGCACTTATTGAGACCGATGTTGAGACAGCCACCACGTTCTAGTATGTGCTGTCATTTTCTATCGTGCTTGACAACTTGATAAGGATCCTTGGCATTCCACCTGCCCCAATTAGGGTTCTCTCGCCTCAGCTTGCAGAGTATTCAACTTCGAGCGAAGACCTTGTGGTGCAACGTCCAGTAGCCGACACAGAGCTCTGTGCAAGGAGGGTGGAAGGATCGAGTTCAGCTTCAATTAGATTTCCTCTGGAGTGGCATTCCGTTCGAGAATGGGTCCAGGGTTTTGCAGGCCGAAAGATTCGATCGTCCTTTCCGGGTCCCACATAGAACGGCCCCATTCTTGCATTCTTCTCACAATTGCCGAAGCCGTCCAACGATTCTCAAAATCCATTTGACTTCCAGTGCCTGCAGATGAGGGACAGTTCGTCCAGCTAAGCATCGAGCTCTTGTCGAATTGAAACCGTCTGCACATGTCTGCATGATGTACTCTCGTTACCCTTGTCTGTGCTGTATTTTGCTAGATAGCGTCGCTCGGAATGTACCTGTGATTGCTGTGCTGCTCAACGGTGCCCATTTTCAACCCATGTGTGCCCGTGTATTGAACGCTCGGTCCCTCTAATTCTGGTCAGCTTCCATGAGAAGCAGGAGCCGGCAACTATCGAGACTAGCGCCGCAGAACGGCGAGCCGAGGAGGATGGGAATGGGGATGATGACTTGAGGGCATCGTGCTTCGTTGTTTTAAAGCTGCTGTCCCAGTAGACTCTTTCGCGTAGCATTAACATCTTCCAAGCAGACAAGATTGAAAGGCGAGAGGTCAGATGCTTTGTGCAAACAGGCTGGGCCCAAGTGCATGTGCCACACATCTTGAACGAATCTAACGTCGTGACATAGTGTGACAATGTCTGATCTATGTGCGAAATGAGATAGTGCAACATATTCATATGATGTACAGTAGTGTACTAGCTTATACTGTACTGACGCAACATCATCCCGTGTCCACACTAAAGTGGCTGAGTTCAACACATGCAGCAGTGTCTCATTGATAGTCGTCGCCGTTTTCGCAGGCGGTCGCCGCGATGAAAAAACTCCAACATTCACAGGGACCGGACCTGTTGGTGTTTCTTACTGTTGAGAAGTCGTGATCTGCATGGGAGGTTGCGGGGTTACAGTGAAAACAACCCTTCCATGAAAACAGTGCCAAACCAAGGAAGGGGCGAAGTGACGGACGCCGATGTCCTGACAACCAGCATTTCCACACACAGGAGACACCGCACCCGAGCAAGGAACCACACCACAGGCAAGGGGGGCTTCTACCATTGGCACGGATGGGTGGCGGCGGGAGCGGGTGGAAGGTGTGAGATGCTCTTGCACTCTTTCTCTCTCCCTCCTCCTCTCTCTTCCTCTCTCTCTCTCTCTCTCTCTCGCTCTCTTTCTCTGTCTCTCACTATCTCTCTCTACCTACCGACCAACCTACTTACCTACCTGCCTACCCAGCTAGCTAGCTGGCTCTGTGCGTCTGTCTCCGTCTCGGTCTCTGTTTGTCTGCCTGTCTGTATAGATATACGTATATATATATATAGACACACAAATACGTATATTGATGTATATGTTTATGCTTAAATACTTATATACTTGTATACATAATAAGAATACATACATGTATATATATATATACACACATACCAACATGTATATATATGAGCATATATATATATATGTATATTTATGTATATATA